GAGTTGGCACCATGGTCCCCTGAGAGGATGGAGGGTCTCATCTTCCTGGAGGGTGGGGACAAGAATGGGAGGAGATGAGGCTGGGGGTGCCGGGCGGGATGCCTGTAGCCTCTGGGGTTGTGTCACAGCCGGGGCCCAGCCCTTCCCCAGCCGCTCTCAGCCTCCTCCTGGTGCCTGCTGCACCTGTCCGCTCAGGGACGGCCTGGCCTTCGTCCTGCTCCCAGGCAGCTGAGGCTCTGAAAGGAAGGAGGCTGGGTCACAGGAGCTCCCTCCCTTGGTTCCATGGAGCCCCCGAGCTCAGCCTAAGGGTGTGTCTGGGCTTGGATGATGGTCTTGCCTCTGAAGCCTCCTTGCATGACAGCTCCCTTCACACATTTATCTGCACCATATCTGAGTACTACCTTGTGCCCCACAGGATGTGGGCCCAGGGCACACAGAGACATATTAAACACCCCTGCCTTGAAGGAGTCCCCAGCCCTGTGAACTGATTCTTATTAAGCGCCCACTGTGTGCCACTTGACGTACATCACCTCATTTAACATCAGCCCTCCGGGGAAGGGGTTATTACTCCCATTTTAGAGTGAGAAAACTGAGACTCAGGGGCTGAATAAGTTGTCCAGGTGACAGAGCCAGGTTTGTCTGCCTCTCGAGCTCGGGCCATTTCCATCTCCATAATTCAGAATGTGGTTGAGGGTCAAATTGGTGGCCGCCAAGAGTCTGCGCAGAAGGGATGGGGGAAAGGAGGTCTTCAGAGGCAGGAGCAATGGGAGGGCTTCCCCAAGGAGAATGAGGTCGGGTGGGGCAGGGGAAGGGGCAGCAAAGAGAGGAGAGAGGAATCCCAGTGACTGAGCGGGGTTTGGGGTAGCCACCCTGGCCCTAGAGGGCAAGGGAGGGTGGTTTCGGGAGAGAGGTGCTGGGCTGGCTCCCGGGGAGCCTGCAGATGGCCGCCTCCTTCTAGGGTACCAGCTTCAATCCCACCGCTACTCCTCCCCCAATGGTGACCTTGGGTATGTTGCTCGACGTCTGAGTCACCTCCACTCATCCACATTGAGCCTTTGAGCAAATTAGCAAAAGCGTCCCTTCCCCTGAACTCTAGACTGGCATCTGCTGGAAAATTGTCATAACAAACACACACACTGATGGTAACCATGACATAAGAGCCACTCTTTAGTGTTGGAGTCCACAACTTGCTCAGCCTCCGTACGTGGTGCTGCTTCTGTGAGGTTCAGTGTCTTCATTTGCTCTTCGATGGGGATACAGACCCATAAATAAGTAACCCCCCGCCCCCAGCACTGCACAGGCTGAGAGGAGAGTGAGGCCCAGAGGATCCACCGTGCCACCTCTGGCTTCTTAGCCACCACGTCTCCTCATCCCCTCGGAGCAGGTTGGCAACGTGAGGAGCAGCTCAGGCCTCTCTGTAGGGTCCTGAGAAGGACAGTTAGTGCCATTTGGAGCCTCTTTGTCAGTGGAGCTGCTCCCCAACCCCCACTTCCTCCTACTAGTTCCCTGCCTTCCCCTCCCCCTTCTTCCAGCCCCTGCCATTCAGTTTTTTCCTCTGATTGTTCTTAGAATGACCCTCCCCACTGTGTTGGAGCCTCTTCACCCCCACCTCCAGGCTCCCGGTGGCCAAGGGGCATCTGGCTTCCGGCTCCCAGGACAGTTATCCCTAGGTGGCCCCAGCTCCAGCTCATGCCTAGCCCTGGGGTTCCTAGTTCCTGTTCCTTAGGCCCTGCTTCTACCCCTGCTGTGCCCCGGCTGCCTCTCCCACCTGTCAGCTCCAATCTTGTCGCCCTGGCCGGTTCCCAGGGGTGGGGCAGGGTCGGGCAGCCCCTGATTCCTACCCTGTCCTCCCAGCCCCACTCTCAGGATCTAGCCAAGTGAGGACAGTGACCCTTAATGTATAAGACCCCTGTCTGCCTTGGACCCTCCCAACACCTGTGGTCCTATCCCTGTCCCTGCAGCCAGCCCCCAGGTCCCACCACCTATCAACCTGTAGGCTGCTTGCCTGGGACAGAACCCACCATAGGCCACGGCTCAGCCCTCACCCAGGACCCTCTTAGAACCTTGTCTCCCAGTCAGAGGCCCAGTGGCCTTGTCCTGCTGCGGTAGAGTGATCTCTGGGCAGATGGCCAGTCACCACTGCCAGCTCGGGGTCCACAGAAGACGAAGGCTCCTCTGGGGGCAGGGGGTGGCATGGTAACCCCCGGTGAACTCTCTCCTGGGTGGACATGCTCATTCAGGGGTAGGAGAAAGGGTGCTTCCTTACCTTCTGTTTCATTATCACATCTTTTTTAAGTTCCCACCCACCCTGGAAATATGAGGACCACTTGGATTTTCAAGGCTCTGACAGTATAGCAAGGAGACCAACACATAGACGTTATAGAACTGCGGGGGGTGTGCTGGAGTGTGCGTGGGTGCAAGGGCAAGGGGACCGCTGAGGAGATGGGAGGCCCCCCACAGGGACAGGGAAGGCCTCCGGGAGGAGGAGGCTCTGCTCGTGGACTAGACGGCGGGGCGGTGGGGGGCATGGCTCGTGCAAAGGCAGGGGGCTTGAAAGAGCCTGTTTGAGGGACTGTGGGTGACCCGGTGTGTGGCGTGTGAAGGGCAGGTAGGGGCAGAGGTGGGGGCTGGGAATGCAGGCGAGCCCTCAGGCTGGAGCATGACGTCACCAAAGGTGGATCAGTCTTGGGAGACCCAGATGTTTAAATTGGACCGCCAGCTGCACGCTGCAGGAAATGGGTGCAAATGAATTCTTATTTGTGTGCAAATAAAATTGGAGGTAGCAAGAGGGATTCTTCAAAAGATTTGGGGGAGGGGAGATGCTGGACCAGGTAGGGTGCGGGTATGGCTCGCATCTGTCAGTGTGCGCCAGCCCCTCTGGAGTCAGGGCCCGGCCGCCAAAGGCAGGACTGAACCTGGGCCCTTCTCTGCTCCCCCAGACAGTCCCAGCTGTTCTCTAGCCGGTGGCTGCCAGGCTTCCAGTGCTCCAGGAGCGCACGTGGCTTGCCCAGTCCTAGCCAGGGTTCCTCCATTCCTGAACAAGGCAGGGCCTCGCTGGGCCTGGAACTGCGGCTCCTGCCATTCAGCGTCTGGGTGGGGCAGACACCAGTGGCCTACTCTCTGAGAAGCCACCCCTTCCGCCTGCTGGAAAGATGTTTTCTTCAGGGTGGTGTTATCTTCACATCTCTGTTTACGTACAAAGCGGGGCTAAGCAAGGCGCCTGGCTCCGCATGTAACTGAGTGGAGGAGGCTGCTTTGGCACTTAAGCACCAGCCCTCCCGTCCAGGGCTGGGTCTGCAGAAGTGCTCTAGTCATGACTCATCAGGGTTTGCGGGCCTTTCCTCACCCTGGGGAGAGGCAGAACATACTTACAGATGCGCTGAGAGAACACGGACTGCTTGCGAGTTCTGAGCACTTGACTTGTATTATCTCATCTAATTCTCACATCAGCCCCATGATCAGCACTATTACTGTCCTTATTTCACAGAGGGGAAACTGAGGCACAGCGCGTGGACTAGGAGCCTGGCTTCAGACACTACACGTAACTGCTCCACAGTGGTGCCTCTTGGCAGCGTAGGACGGAAGTATCCTGGGCAGCAAGTGAACTCTCCCTCCCCTTCTTCCAGTCATAAACACTGCGGGAGTGGAGGCAGGCTCAGCCCCTGTCCTTGCAGAAACCAAGGGGACATGGGGTTGTCGTCTGGGAGACACTGTCACATAAGCTGATCACAGTGTATAGAGTGCGAGTTTAAAGACAGGAACACTGATGCTGTGGGAGCACCAAGGAGACAGCATGGTGACAGGGGCAAAGTTCAGGAGGGCTTCAGAGAAAGGTGACATCTGAGCTGACTTGAAAGGTTAATGGAAATGTTAGGTGACCAAACCCAGGGGGTGGCCCTTCTAGAGCAAGGGAACTGGTAGGGGATACGAAACTGGAGGGGGGTGGGGAGCATCCCAGAGGACACCCCCACTTGGCTAAGCAGTAAGGAACCATCAAGAAGGCAAATTGGGATTAGAACTGTCGCCCGAGGGCTGGCTGGCCTGTGCGGTGGAGGTGAGGGGCAGGGCGCCCACAAGGGGCCTCCCGGGCAGTGCCAAGTGAGAGGCGGCCTGGCTGTCGCCAGCCCTCCAGCCCGCCAGGGGAGGGTGGTCTCGGTTCCCTCCTGCACTGGCTTCCCCTCAAGGGCTCTTCGTTTGTTCTGATGATCTCAGCAGTTTCCCAGAGCGCAGGATGTCCAAGCTTGTTGTGCTTCTGAGATAAGGGGACGGATGAAAGCAGGGATAAACCTGAGGGCCCGGCGGAAGTGTCTGCAGACCTCTGAGCCGGCCCTTCGGGAAGCCGCCGTGGTGGGTCAGCAGCCCCCACCCTCCCCACTTCCACCCCCATAGGAGACGGGGTGGCCTGGCCCGGCCTTGAGGGGCCAGTGCCTGGTTTTCCTCAAGTCCATAGTGTGCGCGTATGTGTGTGTGTTGGGGGTGGGGGTTGTCTTTAATCCTTCACAAACTTGCTGTGTGACTTAGGCAAGTTGCTTTGCCTCTGTGGGCCTCAGTTTTATACCATTAGCACAGACTGGAGGCAAGGTAGAACAGTACCTGCTTTGCAGGCCTGTGTGAGGAGGGAAGGAGAGGCAGGATGTGACCTCTGTTCACAGGCAGCAGAGCATCATGCCAGTGGGAAGGCTCAGTGGCCTTTGCTCCTGGGGCCACTGGCAGAATGGGGAGACTGGGGGAGGCTGGAAAGGCCTCAGGCTGCAGCAGAAAGGGCCCGGCTCTGGGGGGACCCCTCCCATTCTCCTAGTTCCCACCACCTTGTGCCTTTAGTCTCTGATGTTGAAAGGTCACTTCTCTCTGAGCCTGAGGTCCCTACCAGTGTGAAGAGGGCGCTAATCCCTGTCTGACAGGTTTGGCTACAGAGAGGGAGAAGAGGGGCACATTCAGGTGGGTGGTCTGCTGGCCCAACCCCGACCCCACTTGACCCCTTTCCTTCTCTGCTTCTCCAGTGGGAACGCCTCTGGTTCCTGCTCCTCACCATCACCTTCGGCCTCACACTTACCTGGCTCTACTTCTGGTGGGAAGTCCACAATGACTACGATGAATTCAACTGGTAAGTGGGGGCAGGGGACAAGGCCTGGGTCCCCTGCATCCAGTGGCTAAGACGGGCGGTACGGGGAGTTAAAGTTTGAGCCTCTGTGCCAGGCTGGCCCTCAGAGCTTGGCCACTAACTCTGCGTGGCTTTGGGGGCAGAGTCCTCCGGAAAGACAAAGCCTAGCAGGAGCTGAGACCAGCCGGGGAGAACAGGGAACTCCTGCCTGGGGCTACCATCTTGGAAAGCAGGGGTGGAAGGCTGGGGCTGGGCTCAGCAGGGGTCCAGGGCCTCTGGCCCCCTTTGTGGACAAGAACTCCAAGGCCCAGAGATACCAAGGCCTCCGCAGAGGAAGTGGCTCCAGACCCCAGGCCTCTTAACTTCCTGAGCAGCGCCTTGGACAAGGCTGGCAGATGCTATGGTTCTGGGACAGCTCAGGTTGAAAGTGGGCACCAGCCTCAGGCCCAAGGGCAGGGATGTCTGTGTGCTGTACCCCGGTACGGGGGGCACCTATTTCTTCCTCATCCTCACCTCCATTGCCTGTCTTTGTCAAACAGTGGAGGAGGGGAGGGACCCCGGGTTCTGGTGGAAGGAAACTCCTTCATTGGCAAGTGTAGGTGCGAAGGCCCAAGTTCACACCATCACTTGGGGGCAGAGTTGGGGCTTGAAAGCCAGACATCCTCATTCCCTATTCAGTGATGTCTCTTCCTTTTGGTCAGAAGTTCAGCACAGTGTGACTGAGCAAGTCTCCGGCTCTCTCCTAGCCTCAGTGTCCTCCTCTATAAAATGGGATGACTCTACCTCATCAGGTCTTTCCGAGGGTGGAATAAGGTGATGGACCTGAGAGGGCTCAGAGTTCTACCTACACCTGAGGGCTGTTTCCCGGGAGACCCATTCTCTACCTGGAGGGTGGCTGTGGAGTTAGAAGTGGGGATTTCTAGGGCTCCGGGCTTCTGATGGGCCAGGGTTCTAGGATTCCGTGGTAGTGATGCTAAGACTCCAGTCATGCAGTTGGGCATCCACTCCGCTCCACATGGCCCTCGGCTGCGCCTCTGTTATTCATGAGCACAAGAAAGGACGTGCTGCTGTCCCGCCACAGCCTGCAAGATGGGACTCAGCCCCAGCAGAGTCCCAGAGGTGGACTCTGGCCTTTATTAAATGCCATAAATCAATTATTCATCCTCGTAGATATCCACAGCACAGGCACTGCTGTGGGAACATACAATTGCTGGCTCTCAACTGTACACCTTGGACAGTCCTGCTGAACTGGCCGTTGGCTGCCTGGAAGATCATCGGGTCCACCCTGACCATGTTCAGATGGGGAATCTAAGGCCGAGAGAGGGGCAGGACTCAACCAGTTAGTACTCAAAAGGCCCGTTGAGAACAGTCTGAGGATAATGAGGCTCAGAGAGGTTAAGTAGCCTTTCCAAAGTCACACAGTGAGATGCAGGTGGCTCTAGGACAGGGACTGAAGCCTGACTGTGTCATGCTGTCCACAGAGCTACCCCACTCTTCCTGGAGAGCAAGCTCCCACCCCTGGGTGGTTCAAGCAGAGGACCCACGTCTGTCCTGTCAGGAGGTGGTGGAGGGAAGGCCTGCCTGGGACTTTGGGATGGCATGACACCTGCCTGTCACCTCGGTTTCTCGAAGTCGGGGCTGGGATTCAGAGAGCCTGGCCCAGCCCCTGTGGTCTCAGGGCCTCTGGAGAGGATATGAGTGAGAGCTGGGCGGTCAGGGCTGGGTGACAAGAGCCAGGGAGGGGCTGTCTGGGCCCTGACTGTCTGGGATGGGGTGGCCCCCTGACAAGTGGGAAGAAAGTAGAGCCAGAACATTTTTCAAAGAGGTTACCAGGAGCAGGGCCCACCCCTCTCTGGACCTCAGTTTCCCCAACTGTATAGTAGAAGAGTGCACTCAGTGATCTTCCAGGCCTCTGGAATCTGAGGGTGAGGGCCAGGGAAGACAGGAGACTGGCGCCTTAAAACGTGGATTCCCTTTTTAGCCTCATAATTCTGTTTGTAGGAGTCTCTCCTAAGTAAATAATTACTAATATAGAAAGATACGTGCAAAAATTTTTTTTGTGTGTTAATGTATAATAGCGAATAATTGGAAATGATTGTCATTAGTAGGAGTTTGGCTACATATGGTGTGCTAATTCAATAGAAGACCAGGCGACTGTTGGAAACTACATATCCTCGGGATGTTTACTGACCTCAGTAAATGCCCGTGTTAATAGGAACATAATTGATCACTTACCGCATGCTCCCCCTCCCACCATGGCCCCGCCCGTTCATCCTCAGGAAACCCTATGGAGGGCATGTTAGCAATTCTGAGACCACTTATTTTCACATTTTAACACTGAAATTGAGATGATGGTCACAATGGATGACGTTCTAGAATTGGTGAAGCCTGTCACCTGCGCAGGACCTACAAACCAGTAAGAGGCAAAGAGGGCACTTGAATCCGAGTGTTACCTCCCTCCAAAGCCCAGTCTCTGACCGCTATGCATATGCAGTGGATCCTGGCTTTGCTGTTTATCAAATATATAAGCATGGGGGGAAACCCACTGCAAGAAAAGCAAGCCCAGTTTGGGAAGGGGCTATTCCTGGGTGGTAGAATTATGGGGATTACTTTTTTCCTCTTTATGCTCTTGGCATGCCAGGTGTCCACCCTGAGCTCTCAACAGGCCTGACTGATGATTAGTGAAACCATAACATCGTCTCGGAGCGGGCAGGGCCAGGTCCCTGAGCCCGGCTCCTGGTGGAGGTCTGACCCTGGCCCCCTCTCCTCCTGCAGGTACCTCTACAACCGCATGGGCTACTGGAGTGACTGGTCCGTCCCCATCCTCGTGGCCACAGCCACCGCCTTCACTTACATCGCGGGACTCCTGGTACGTGAGGCTGGCCCTGCGCTCGGAGGAAGGGGACCTGGCCTGTGCAGGGCTGATGGAGGGACCCGCCCTGGTCTAAGGAGGGAAGCTGGCTTTTCCTTTCCCTTGGGCCACTGCACCTCAGGGGCTTGGTTCCTTCAAGGTGGGAGGTCGCCTTGCTTTGGCTTTATCCTGGAGTGTTTCCCCCTGCAACCCAGTGAGAGCCATCCTGCTCTGAGGACCCCCTGCGGACTTTCTCTTCTGGGAACTTCTGCTTTGGTTCCTGCTCCCAGCACACTATCCCCTCAGATGCAGGTCAATCCCTATGTTGGACCCGGGGCTCCTTGGGGACAAGGTTCAAATGTACCTCAGCCTCCTGGGGCCTGGAACTCCTAAGATGTTAACTGGGTGGCCCAAGTGCAGCAGGTATTTAGTGACCTCATGAGGGAGAAATCCTAGAGGAGGAGGAGCTGGAGGCCTGAAATAACTTGGAAGGAGGCCAGGCTTGGGCCGAGCTGCGCTGGGCATTGCCCATCGCCTACTGGGAGGGTTTGCTGACCAATGAGCCAGGCCCGGCGCAGCAATGGGAAGAAGGGTATCTGGGGAATTGGTGGAAAACTTTGGGTCGCACATGGGGCCTGACTGTTGCCCTGTGGGCTCCCTCTTCAGGTCCTGGCACTATGTCACGTCGCCGTGGGGCAGCAGATGAACCTGCACTGGCTACACAAGGTAAGGGCTGCCTCCACAGGGTCTGAGAGGGGAGGGGAGGTTAGAGGCCGCCACAGCAGGGGAAGAGCCTGGATACAGCATCTTTCCTCTGGATCATGATGATAACTGTCCTGGGAGCTAACACGGCGGACTCACTGTGTGCCCAGCACCGTTCTCAGAGCCCACCCTGTATTAGCTCACCGACCCCTCACAGTAGCCCTGTGATATAGGTACTATTGTCTCATTTTGCAGCTAGGAAAACTGACATACAAAGAGGTCAAGTCATCTGCCCAAGGTCTCCTACTTAGTAAGTGGAGGATCCAGGATCCTAGCCCTGCAGCTGTGCAATTAACCAGCACATATCACAGCTCCAGCCCTCTGGTTGGGCTCTGCTGAGAGTCTCACTCTCTCTCCATTCCTCAATGAGCTCATTCTGAAACTCTGACCCAGTCATGTTGTCCCCAGCTTAAAGCCCTTCCCACCACTCCCATTGCTCCAGGATGATCCAAACTTCCCCACCCAGCGTGAAGGCCCTGCATGACTTGGCCCCTGCTGATATCTCCCAACTGCCATCATTAGGACAGTCACCCCCAGCTTTTGCCCCATGAGACATCTCGGGCACTGCCAGCATGTCTGCCTCTTCTCTGTTACCTCTTCTCTCTTGCCTCCCTTTCTCTCCTTTGTGTACCCTTCCTTAGTTCTCCACCACCTGCACAGGCTGCTTGGACTCCCCCAAGGGGGCCCCTGCAGGGGCCCCTACTATGTCCTGAGCATCTGTGTTGTCCATTTCCATCTGGCTCCCTGACCGCAACCCTCCCGGTCTGAGAGCTTCTTACAGGCCAGAATTGGCTTTGCCCATCTCTGTGTCCCCAGTGCCCCACTCAGGGTGGGGCCCAAAGCAGGGAGGTGTCATAGATTCAGAACCTTGGCCCTCTTGCTGTTCATTGCTCACACAGTGCTGAATGTCCAGTATGTGCCTGATGCCTGCTCTTCCTGAGGCCCCAGTGGACACAGTGGTGGCACAAACTGACCAAAAGAAGCCCTTCCCTCTGGGGCCTTGGAGGGAGGGCTAGGCCATCTCTTTCTTTCTCCAGAGCCTGGCTTGGAGTGGGCATGCCATTTAGGAAGGGGCAGAAATGTCCAGAAATAGCCAAGAGCCCATGAGATGCATCCAGAGTGACTCTGAAGGGAAGGGCTTACTTCCAGCCGGAAGGGGGACACGGAGCAGGAACTGGACTAAAGACCTAGTGAGCTCGCGTTGGGCTGTGTAGTGGGAGGGCCCCTGGGCATCTGGGGGGCTGCCTTTGAGATCAGGAGCTGGGGAGTCAGCCTGGGTGACAGAAGCCTGGGAGGGGTGGGGAGCAGCCAGCAGCCCAGGTGTCCTACCCTCCTCCTGCTTGTCACTCTGTCTGGAGGTCTCCGGGCCTGTGAGGTTCCCTCTGTGAGGCACTTTTTTTCTCCCAGCTGCAAAGCGGACACTTGAAAGAACTGCACCAGATGGCACCTGGGTGGGGCTGGCACACACCATGGTCACCTCCTCTAGGTCATGCCTGACTCTCAGCAGGTCACACCTGCTTGATCCTGGTGGAGAGGCCTCCCGGGACACTGAGCCAGCGGGGGTGGCAGGTCACTGCCAGGAGCCTTCTCCTGCGAAGGGGATGAGATCCCTTCATCTCTACCAGGGCCAGCTCTGGGTGCCAGCCCTGCCTTCCTCTCCCTCCCACCCCCGGGAGCCCAGCACGAGGAGGTTCCTTCCAGGCAGTGCGGATGCATAGCTGCACCAGGAGGGAGGTAGATCCCTGTGGCTCAGAGTTTTCAAGTAGGGGCAGAACACTTTCCTATTCTGTTTCCAAGACTCTGTCATTTGATTAGAATATTCTAATCCTTATCCTTTTCATGATTTAACCAATTTTTGACCATCTAATACATTGACATGGTTTAAAATTAGAAAGGTGAACACCCTGGCTGGTGTGGCTCAGTAGACTGAGCATCCGCCTGTGGACTGAAAGGTTGCTGGTTCATTCCTAGTCAGGGCATGTGCCTGGGTTGCGGGCCAGGTCCCCAGATGGGGGCGTGAGAAGCAACCAATTGCTGCTTCTCTCACACATCATGTTTCTCTCCCTCTCTCCCCCTTCTTTCCTGTCTCTCTAAAAATAAGTAAATAAAATCTTTTTTAAAAAATTAGAAAGGTACAAAAAAGTATACAATGTAAATCTTCCTATTATCTTTCCAGAGTATTTTAAGTATATACAAATATACATAAATACTTTCTTTTTTTTCTTTTATTTAAACACAAGCCTACTATACCCTCCATTTTGCACATTAACAAAACTCTTGGAACGCCTTCCCCTCAGTGCATTGAGAGCTTCCTGTTGGCGCCCAGCGCCTGTGCCTGTCCCCGGGTTTAACCCTGGGTCCTGAGGTATCTGGCCTGCCCCTTGTTGATGGGCCTGGTGACATCCCAGTTGCTTTTGATTCATGGCCAGGACATGTAGCAGCAACCTGGGTGGGGAATTCTGGGTAAAGAGCTTGTACTTTTGTAATTGTGGATAGTTCTTGTCAAAGTGCCTCCTTGCCAAGCGCCACCAGTTCATGCTCCCTCGGCATTCTATGATCGTGCCTATAAAGTCACCCTTGCCCATAATGTGTTCGAGGATTTTTCCACTTGTGCTGGAAAATCGATGGGTGAAAATAGTCCCTCAGTGTAGTTTTGGTTTGCATTTCCCTGATGATGAGTTAGAGTCAGCATCTTTCATGAGTCATTTGCATTTTCTTTTCTATAAAGTGTCTTTTCATATTTTTTGCCCTTTTTGCTACAGGATTTGCTTTTGGCTTATTCCTTTGCAGGAGCTCTTTATAGATCAGAAAATTGGCCCTTGGGCTGATGAACTGTAAATAACTCTTCCTAGTTTGTCACTCACCCTTTGACTTTGCTTGTTGTACTTTACCGTAGGAATTTTTTATTCTAAAGGATGAGAATATGTCATCTCTTTTTATGCCTACTGCTTTTGTGTCAGAAGTCCTTCCCACTCCAAGATTATAAAAAATTTCTCTACACATGTTTCGATCTTTTTTAACATTTAAAATTTTTATCTCTTTGGAAGTTCCCTTCAGGTATGGTATGATCTTACTTTGTTCCTCTTTGATGGCTTCCCACTGTTCCTGACTATCTATTGAATAATCTGGCCTTTCCTCTTTAATTGGAGATGCCCTTTTTATCATATACTAATTTTTTAATCTGTTTAGATCTGTTTCTGAGCTTTTTATTTATTTTCCTTTATCTCTCTGGTCTTATACCAGTATCATACTGCTTTAAATACCACTGTTTTATACTGAGTTTTAATCAAGATCTTTAATTTGAGAGTCTCTGGTCCCCCCAAGTCCTGAGTGAGGGAGGGCTGGAGGACAGAGGTGCCCAGGACACGTCAGACACTGTGCTCATCGTAACAGTCATGACCTTCATTTACTGGGCACTTACTCTCTGTGTCAGGCACTTTCCACACAGTATTTCGTTTACTCTTTGTAATAATCCTCTCCATCTGTTATTATGCCCACTTTTAAAAATTATACTACTGACATTTGGTAAGCATTTACTATTTTGGTGCAAACCACTGTGCTAAGCACATCACTTGCATTTTCTCATTTATTCTCCCCAATACCCTCTAGGGCAGGCCCGTGCTCTCCCGATTTCACAGCTCAGGAAACATGCTTTCAGAGGTTAACCTCCCCCAAGAGGCAGCAGAATTGGGATGTGACTGATGGATATACTCACATGTGTCCCTGAGCCCTGGCCAACCACCTGCCACAGAACCCAGATGCCAGCCACCCCAAGGGGCCAACCTGCAGCACCTTTACTAGGCCGGGTACCAACTCCTCTTGGGTCCCAGCACCCAGGCAAGGCTCACAGAACAAATGAATGTACCTCCTGTGTCCCTATCCTTCCCATAGGCATCACAAACCACAGCCTCCCCAGCACAGAAAACCAAACAAAGATCACGGCATCAGAGGATACTGGGTTGCCTCTGTGCCTTCTGGGTGGGGCTTCTCCTTTGCAGTCAGATTTGAGGAACGGTGGCACATTGTTGGGATTCAGTGCTGTTACTGTGGCTTAAGGACACATGTGGGGGAAATCCCTCAGACGCTGAACATTGCAGCAATGCTACTGAGCATAATGGCGCCACTACGGCAACTGCAAAACTCATAATAAAATTCATAATTGCATTAGGATTAGGGGGAATTCGCTTTATTGCAAGTGTTTCCACTAGCAATTAAATATGGCGATAAGATGCTCTCCAAAACAACCCTTCAGAGACACTTCCTGTGCCCAGGGCCTGCCTGGCGGGGGCAGCTGAGGGCAGGACTGCCTGCTCATTGAGGGGGGATTCTCAGGGATGGTCAGGACACTGCTTGGCTTCCTGCCACTGAAGGATGACCTTTGAGACAGGCAGAACGGGGTTTGGGTCCAGAACCCCCTCAAAACTACATGACCAAGCAAACTGTTATGGTCTCTGAGTCTGGTTTCTCTGTGTGTAAAGTGAAGGTAATACCTCCCTGGGAGGTTAGGAGGATAAACGTGGGGAAACTGGGAAGCGCCTCCCACACACCCAGGCACCCAGGGGCCCTCTGCGGACCTGCATTTCTCTCTTCCCTGTGTTCCCCGGGCAGGCATGTCGCAGCCTGTAAAGGCCCCTACCCATCTCAGCCTTATTACTGTTTCTTATTGGAACATTTGTTTCCAGACTGGTAGGCTGGAATGACAAACCTGCAGAGGAAAACTTCATCCCAGGCAAGAATGAATCTTCTCTGCCTGGCAGGGAACCACGATGGATCAGCCCCCGTCTCTGCCCTGACCATCTAGAAACTCATTTAGAGCTTGTTCGGGTCGTTGGGGGGGGTTCTCAGGATGCTGTTGAGAGGGCCCTCAGAAAGGCACTGCAGGAAGGGAAAGCGGGGTGAGGGCCCTGCTGGCTGGCAGAGAGGCCGGCTGGAGGAGGCCGAGGGAAGTCCGTGGCCTCGGCTGGCCAGTGGTAGAGAGCAGGGTAAGGGCCTCCGCGTAGAGAGGCGGTGTGGGCGTTAGGGAGGCCTCCCTGGCAGTGCAGGGGTGGTGGGTAGAGTGAGCACCAGAGCTCAAGAGGGTGGCGGGGTGAGGAGCTGGAGACTTAAATAGGCAGAAACCAGGCTTAGTTTGGGGGAGCATTTTACGTTGCATGAGATGTTTCAGATCCCATCCGTCCCCTGGAGATTCCACCTAGTCTTCGGTCAGAGCTGTGCTTGCTTTCTCCAGGAGGCAGCTGTGAGGGCTGCCCCCCATTAGTCTGGAAGCCCAGAAGCCGGGGGCTGGGAGCAAGCCTCTGCAGTGGGGGGATGGGGCTGGCAGCAGGCCATCCCTCCCCTCCGCTTGCCTCTGCCTGAAGGGCCACTGTGAGCCTGGCTGAGCTGGGTATCAGGCTCCTGCCAGGGACCTGGCTCCTCAGTCTCCTGCCCTTGTGGTCCAGGCAAGTACTCTTGACGCCGACAGTTGCTGGCAGGGCTGGGGGAGGCCTCAGATGTGACCTGCTGGGCCCAGAAGAGCCCCTCCCACACAGTTTGCTAGGTGTCTCCCTTCCTTCACCCTCAGAGGGGCTGCGCCCTGGGGCTTCATTTCGGCCTTGCTCCAGTTCCCTCTCCGTCCTCCATCCTCCCTTCTATTTCTCTTGGTCCTTGGTCCTTTGTCACTGGGTCTCCCTGGTCTGTCATCTCTGTCGGGCTGTCTCTTGCTCCTTTTGCTTTGTGCCTTCTCTTTCCCGCTTCTCCCCTTCCCTGCTTTGTCTGCCTCCTGCACTCCATTTCTTCCCCTCGGTCTCTCCTTCTGCCTCCCGACCTCTGCCCTCCCTCTCTCAGACACATTGGGGACCCTCAGGCTGTCCAGCCATACCTGCCTGACCCCCTGTCCGGTGGCTCTTCCCCTTTGCAGATGGGGCTGGTGATCACCCTGGTGTCCACAGTGGCGGCCATAGCGGCCGTGGCGCAGCTGTGGGAAGACGAGTGGGAGGTGCTGCTGATCTCCCTACAGGTAAGTGCGGGGGGAGGGTTGCTTCCCCCAAACCCTCAAAAGAAGGCAGCGCCTTCTTATCGCTCCCATTTCCTCAGACCAAGACCCAGAGGGGACAGGGAGGGTGGTCCAGGTCACATAGCCAATCAGAGGCACAGCGGGTGCTACAGCCCAGGGTGCCTGGACTCCCAGTTTCCTCCAAGAGTTCCCTGCCCCATGGATAGAGATGAGCCATCAGGATGTTTGTGACCAGAGGGTCTGGCATGGCTGGGAGTCAACGGTCCCTCTTCCCCCCCGACACAAGGGCACAGCTCCGTTCCTGCACATGGGGGCCCTGGCTGCCCTCACAGCACTCTCCTGGATCGTGGCGGGACAGTTTGCCCGGGCAGAGCGGTCCTGTAAGTATGACCGGGCAGGACCTGTCCCCTCACCGTGCCCTCCAAGTACCAGGCCAGCTTGTCCCGCCCTCACCTAGATGTTACCTGGGATGAGGTAGGCCCCTCACTCTCAGTGTGGGGGGTTCTGTTCAGAGTGGCGCATGCATCCCAGTGGGCTTTGCCTGTTTCCTCTTCTGCGTCTGTCTGGGGTGTCTGTGTGTGACTTAGAGGACAGGGTCACATTTCCAGCAACGATGGGAGCTGCCCTTAGTGCAGGGTCCCTTTAGAGCATCTGGGTCCTGGCAGGCAGAGGGAAGAGGGGTCCCCCACTACGCGCCCAGGGCTCACAGGTGGGCCTGGTGGGAGTCGAACGCCCAGCAGGCGGCACTCACAGCCTGTGTCTGCAGCCTCCCAGATGGCCATCCTCTGCACCTTCTTTGCTGTGGTGTTTGCCCTCTACCTGGCCCCTCTCACCTTCTCCTCTCCCTGCATCATGGAGAAGAAGGACCTGGGCCCCAAGCCCGCCCTCATTGGCCACCGCGGTGCCCCCATGGTGAGTGCCACCTGAGGGCCCTAACAGACTGAGGTGGGGTGGGGTGGGGTGGGGTGGGGGAGCAGAGCTGCCATTCTAGGGGGAGATAATCACAGACCTGACCCCTCATAGGGAGGAACTTGGAGCGAAATGAATATAATACACGTAACATAATAATAGAACAGTGTTTAGCCCTTTTGGGGCGTATATGGGAAGGACTGATGAAAAGGCTGGAGAGCTTAGATGGGATCGAATCCTGACGAACCCTGAGCACCTTGCTAAAATGCTCTAACTTCTATCAAGGGGCCATGGAAAGACACAGGAGGGTCTTGCCCAGACACTGCCAGGTTGTGGGTCAGGAAGGCCCAGAAGAGAGGCTGCCGGGTGAGGGGTGGAGAGCAGGGCCCACAGGCCAGGCAGCAGGAAAACCCACCCGGCTGTGGGGGCAGGGGAGGCAGGGGAGGCAGGGGAAGCTCAGAGCCTGCCGCTAAAGGGAGGACTGCTGAAGCTGAGCTGGGCTGGGCTGAAATGGAGAGGGAAAGGAGTCAAAGTCGGTGGCTCCCTCATTTACTGATGCCCCTGTGACCCTGTAGTAGACCCTCCCCTTGAGAGTCAGGCTTCCTCGGCCTCTTGGCAGCTATGGAAGCCCGACCAATTCCACCTTCTCTGTGCCAGTTCCCTCATCTTTTACCCTGAGCTGATGAGGCTGACTGAGATGGAGGGCCCTGTGAGGCGGGGCTTAGCACCCAGGAAGTGCCCAGCTCTGAGCCTGATAGACACTCCCGTTACCTTGGGCCAGCCACCCCCTTTCTCTGGTCCAGGATTTCCTCACCTTGAACCTGGGTTCTCAACAGAGGCAGTACCACTCTCCACCGCTAGTGGGTGCTGGGGGACTTCGTGAAAGCTTTTCCTTGGTTGTTTTATCACAAGGATTGGGACTTCCATGGTGTTGAGTTCAGAGTAGTCAAGGTGGCCTCAAAAGTCACTTTTAAAAGGAGATGTTGAGTCTGAGGGGGCTGCGGATCACACTAAGGTCCTCCACGCCCTGCGTGCGGTAGGCATTGTGCCCATTTTCCAGGTGAGACCCAGAGACCTGTGCCAGGCCGGGCCCCGGTGCCCTCCCACCCCACCCTGTTTTGCCTCCTGGAGGCAACCAGCTGGAAAGGCCATGGCTTTGGAGTCGGAGGGATCTGGATTTGGGGTCCAGTTTTGCCATATGCCGCCTGGGTGTCTCAGGACATCGCCTGTCCCCTCTGAGCCTCACGTCCCTTTCTGTAGTGAGGATATGGAAGCCCCCCAGGCAGCGGGGCTCCCCTTTTTTCCGTGACCCACATACCCACCCACCTGCTCTAGAGGCCAGGGGACATGCAGGGAGGCTGAGCTAGTGAAGGAGGCAGCAAGGGAAGCAGCAGGGTGGCCCAGTGTGGGTTATTTTTTTAGTAGGAAATTTCCAAACTATCACAGACATAGAAAAAGTAGTGTAATGAACCATCTTCAACACGTATCAGTGCTTTGCCATTCTAATGTCATCTGTTTCCCTACTTCTTTCTTTGTTGTAGTATTTTAAAGTGAATCTCAAACATCGTATCATTTTGTCCATAACTTCAGGATGTATCTCTAATGCATATGGACTTTTTTTTTTTTAACATGACCACAACCACAATGCTTTTATGACACCCAACTCAATTAATAATAATTCCTTAATATTATCTATCATTGCATCCAGGCTCCGTTTTCATTTATATTGTCAAAACTATCTTTTTAAAGTTGAGTTGTTAAAAATCAGGATCCAAATGGGGTCCAGCCAGTGCATCTGGTTGACATGTCTTCTAAGTGTGTTTTAGGCTATAACAACTCCCCTCCCCCCTTTTTTCCATATGCTGTTTATTTCTCGAAGAAACAGTCATTTGTCCTGTAGAATTTCACACGTTATACATCTGGCTGACTGAATTCTCAATCATGTGCACACCCCCCTGTGGGAGGTTCTGACTCTGGGTCCACGCTCTGTGCGTGGTAAGTCCCAGTACACATCCCTGTCTTGGAGACCATGTCCATGTGCCGTTGAGTGTGTCCTTCCAATGTGCATGTGCCTGAGTGTGTGTGCATTCACACTTTAACACTCCAAAGCTTGACCTCTTCACCCCAGTGGCCTGCTCACTTGAATTTGTGACAGCCACATACCACCCACCCCACCGCCGACACTCACACTCCTGACAGCAGACTCCTGCATGGGCTTAGGCCTGAGGTAGTGGGAACCCTGAGATGGAAACTAAGAAGTCACCCTGGCACCCCACATACTTCCCAGGGCCTTTCTGGATCCCAAGACTGGCCAGGGAGGGCCAGCTTTCCAAGCCTCTTTCTCTAGGAGGCAGCACCTAATGCAGGGAGACTTGGGTTGAAAAAAGCCTCCAGAAAGAGACTTCCCCCTCTCAAATACTTCTTCTGTGTCCACAGTCTACCTTCTGCAGCCGCAGCGCAGGCAGGAGGGAGCAACGGTACCTCTTGGATGGTCACTTGTAGAGGCCTGGCCACAGGACCTTTAGAGGAGAGATGGGTGGGAAACCCACACCTCTCTCTAGCCCCATTCCGTCTTTGGGTGAGGCCCCACACAGCCTGCCTGACTGGGGACAGGTTGCACATTCCCCAAGGCAGCTCTGCACCAGGGGAAGGGGAAGCAGGAAACTCATGTTATAGAGACTGCTGGTGTCTGTTCTCTCACCTATGAGCTTGATAACATTAACCTATTTTATAGCTGAAGAAACTGAGGTTCCAAAAGGGGAGGTGAAGGCCCAGGAATGGGAAATGTAATTGTTTCTTCTCAGCTCCAAAGCCCTTTCCGTGCCAGCCTGCCTCCCAGAGGAGGGGAGTGTGTTACATGTTGGAGAACAGCATGGCCAGAAGGAGAGAGAAGGGGGATGAGCATATCTTGGGAATGAGATCAGCTGTGGGGACCCTTTCCAACCCATCCCCTCTGTCAGGAGTCTTCCCTCCCCGTGTCTTCCTTGCACGCGTCTCATCCTAGCCCAATCCTTGGTTTCGTGCTGACCCCCAGAGGCAGCAAAGGGTATGACAGGGACCTCAGACCAGAGAACTGGGGAGACTTAGAACCTCCACTCTCCCCAAGTGGAAGGACCCTCAAAGAATAGTGAATATACTCTCTCAAGGGGAAACGGGGAAATGCACCCCAGGTCATAAATCTGGTTAAATGGTAGAGTCAGGGCTAGAAATAGGCTCTTCTGACACGGATGCTATAGGGTTAACAGTTGTCAGCAACATGCTAGGGGCTTTCCATCCATGTAACAGTCTCGGAGATGGGCTGGTCATTTCCTGTATAGATGAGGAAACTGGCCGCCCTCTGCAACTGCCGCCTGTCTACCCTCTCCTCTCCCTCTGGGATCTCAACCTGGACTCGGTATAACAAGGGGGAAACTTGGCATTCAGCCCCAGCCCAAGACTTCCATAAGGCTGAGGGCTATAGAAAAACCCTCCCACCCTCACATTTATAGACACCAATACTAACCACTCCCACTCAAAAAAACCTGTGTGGCAGGCATGATTTAACAGATGAGGAAACCGAACTTCTGAGAAGCTGTGTGGGTGCCCAGGTCACACAGCTATTGCGTGGGGAAGTTGGAATTAGAACCAGGCCCAACATGGGAGATTTTCATTGGCTGGGAAGGCGCACAGCAGCCAAATCTGAGGTCTACCCTCACCAGCCCCTGTCCCCGCAGCTGGCCCCAGAGCACACGCTGATGTCCTTCCGGAAGGCCCTAGAGCAGAAGCTGTACGGGTTACAAGCTGATGTCACCATCAGGTAGGTGTTGGAATGGGACGATGGCACTGTCTCCTGTCCCCACTGCATCCACCTCTGGGACTCCGCTGGAGAAACTTCAGGTCCCAGAGCCTCGGAGACAGGAGGGCAGAGGCTTGATGACCCACTGCAGGGTGGGCGCCCTGCTCATGGCTGTGAATCTTGTGCCAAACTTCAGGATATAAAATAAAGAAAAGAATAGTGCTCTTGGTTCAAGCAGGGATGGAGGGTTGGGACATGGAGACCTGCCTCAGATCCATGTGAAGGAAAGACCAGATTCCTATGAAGGACTAGATTACAGAAGGATGGAGCTCAAACACCCTGAACTACGCACACTGCAGAGATACATTCACTGTGATGTCATTTATATTTTAAAAGGCCACATTAGAACGACTTAGACATTTCCTACAGGTAGACTTATGTGTATATTAGTATGGAGGGCAGGGAGATCCACACTCATAACACATGTCAGAAGGGGAGAGGGGCAGGGCCCCCCTTGGGCGTGCACAGGTTCTGTGCTGACAAGGGCCACTCTTATGCGAGAACATCTCCCCAGTGTAGATATCACAGAATTATATATTTGCCAAACCTTTCTAGTAGATGGTGGCAAGCTGCCCGAGGAAAGGGGGCACGGGTGCCTTCTACTGTTTCACTCTAAGGCACCATATAGGCTCAGACAGCTGCAGTGGGGTAGACCGGGATGGTTGAGGCTAAAATTTGTCAAAGGGGCCTGCATTTGCACTGTCCTTATTGTGGCATTGCATGGACTGGGTTCTAAGCCAGGTTCCACCAATTACTGGCTGTGGCCTTGAACTAGGTACTTCCCTCTCCCAGCCTCAGTTTCCCCATTATCAAATAAAGAAGCACCTACCTTCCCAGATTGCTAATAGGCCCAGCCCTCTTTCCTCAACAGTCCCTACCCCTATCTGACCCTCACAGAGAACTCGAAGCCCACCGGCCCACTGCCTGCCCTGTGCAGATGGGGAACCTGAGGCCCAGAGAGGGTGGGTCGGTGTAAATGGGTGAGGAGGACTGTGCGGGGGGACGAGGGGGGGGCGGTGATTGTGGGCAGGTGAGGGGCCTGGATGGGCAGTGACTCAGCAGCCCCACCCTCCTGCAGCCGGGATGGCGTGCCCTTCCTCCTGCACGACACCACCCTGCGGCGCACCACCAACGTGGAGGAGGAGTTCCCCGAGCTCGCCCGCAGGCCCGCCTCCATGCTCAACTGGACTGTCCTGCAGAAGCTCAACGCCGGCCAGTGGTTCCTGAAGGTCCGACTGCAGCTGCCCCCTCCTGGGCGTGGAGGGCATGGGCAGGGGCCCTGGGGCGTGAAGGAGCGGGGTGGTCATCCCCTCAGGTGGCCCCACTCCCCCAGCTTCCCTCGCAGCCAGGCCGGTTGGCGGCCTCCTTGGGCTCCTGCCGCTGCAGCCCGAACAGCCTGGTTGCCACCGCCTGTGCTGGCTCTGTCTCCCTCACCAGAAAAAGCTGATGGTGATAGCGGTTAATAGGTAAAATTGTCAACTCTGTAAAACTTGAGAGGGAGATGGGTTCTCTGGTCTGAAGTGTTACTAAAGGAGAAATATGCTGGGGTCTGGGAGACATTCTACACAAACGATTCTTTGAGTAAGCAGGGTGTGGCACAGAGAGGTTAGGGCTGGGGTCTCTGAGAGCCCCCACAGGGCCACAGCCACCTCTCTGCTTGACACACACACATCAGGAGACACTGGCAGCTCAGGGGTCTCCATGCTTGGTAGCCAGGAAGGCACGCGGAGGCCTGCAAAACGCTGGAAAGGGATCCATGTGTGTCATTTTCTCTGCCAGACGGACCCCTTCTGGACGGCCAGCTCCCTGTCACCCTCCGACTACAGGGAGGTCCAGAACCAGTCCATCTGCAGTCTAGCTGAGCTCCTGGAGGTGGCCAAGGGCAATGCCACACTGCTACTCAACCTGCGTGACCCTCCACGGGAGCATCCCTACCGTGGCAGCTTCCTCAACATCACGCTGGAGGCCTTGCTGCGCTCAGGCTTCCCCCAGCACCAGGTGAGGCCTGGCCGCCCCGCCCCACCCCTCCCCATCTCCCCATCCCCCTACCCGCCCCCCCGCCCCGCCCCTGCCCCAGCCTGGCTGGAATAGGAGGACTCTGGCAGAAACTCGCCATGTGCCCTGTCTAGACCTCAGCTTCCACATTTGTAAAATGGGATCGTGACAGGAACAAGAAAGTCCTTTAAAATGTACAAAGGGCAAGAACAAGTCCAAGTTCTATGAAATACTGTTACTTCCACAAAGCACTGTCCACATCCTTGTGTAATATTTGGAGATTGGAGGAATCCCATACCAATTTATGAGGTGCCCTAGAGGCTGGTGGCCACATGCAGAATAATTGTGTTTGGGTTATCAGTCTTATCATGACCAGGGGCCAGAGGGGAAGCCCCCTGGGTTGTTGGCTGGGACCAAGCCATCCCCTCATTATGATTATTACATGGAAGCTGCCACCATGTGCTAGGGCTTCTCTCTCTCAACCCTTTCAGGTGCTTTAGGAGGGGGAGACACTCTCAACCCATTTTACAGATGAGGAATCTGAGGCCGCCCCCTCTCTGCCTATAGGTCATGTGGTTGTCTAACAGGCAGAGGCCCTTTGTACGGAAGGTGGCTCCTGGCTTCCAGCAGATGTCAGGCTCCAAGGAGGCGGCCACCAACCTGCGGAGAGGCCACATTCAGTGGCTGAACCTGCGCTACACTCAGGTGTCCCGCCAGGAGCTCAGGTGCCCACCCCACTCACTCCAGCTCACCCAGAGGAGGGCAAGACTGAGTCCCTCCATCCTGTCTCTTGCACGCACGCACACAAGCACGCACACCCGCGCAGAGGGCTAGAAGCATGGGGGCTTCTGGTTCAAAGGGGATATGTCAAGAGCATGAGGCAGACATGGGTTTGTCTCTGCATGTGGCCCTCTGGGAGTGGAGAGTCCTTCCTCCGGGGACGGTGGTGAGGATGGCACCATGTGTTATAGGCTTCTCAGAGGCCCCGATCCGCGGGCTGACCAGCCTCTGTCCCCTTCCCCACAGGGACTATGCATCCTGGAACCTGAGTGTGAACCTCTACACGGTCAATGCACCCTGGCTCTTCTCGCTGCTGTGGTGCGCGGGGGTCCCATCGGTCACCTCTGACAACTCCCACACCCTCTCCCAGGTGCCTTCCCCACTCTGGATCATGGTGAGTTGGAGGAGTTGCTGGGGGGGCAGAGGGCATCTGCGGGGAGTGGAGAGCTGCCTGAGGCACCCAGGAAGGTGCAGGCTCCACACTTGGGGCTCCCTGGTGACGTCTCAGGTTGGGGGGAGCCCATGGAGGTGCAGGTTTGAGGCACAAGGAGGATTTTCACAGTCGTTGGGGTCTGCACTAAGGTGCTGGGAGATGGGAGGAACCTGCGCCTAACTAACGGGGGAAAACATCCCATAAGGCCCCTAACAAACTAGTGAACGGCCACTTGGGTTTTTGGTTTAGGTGTTATTTATTATATTTTGTTTTCTAGGAAGGGAAGGCATTATAAATAGAGGGTTATAGGACAAGAATAGGAACCATTAAAATCTGCTGAGATTACAGTGAATCAAACCAGTTTTCACCTGGCTGACTGAGGTCCAGTCCCAGCTCTGCCACTGCTGGGAGTGGGGAGCCCTGGGTCTCCCGCCTGCGTGCCCACCGCCGCCTCTCTGAGAAGGCAAAAGGCAGAGGGAGGGTCTCGTTGTGGCTAAGACAGTGCCAGGGTCAGTGAATCAGATCTCAGCTATGGACGGTTAAGTCCATCCACCTGCCCACTGTCCTTTAAAAGCTCCAAACGCTCAGCCCGGAATTAGGTGAAATCACGCTGTGGCAGCAGTCGCAATGAGCACACTCGACTTTCGGGGTCACGGGAGTTAGCCAACAACAAGAAGTGCCCCCCTTCTACTTCTCCACAGTTCAGCCGAGGTCCTGGAGGTTTGCCCGCCTGGCCCCTCTCCACTGAGCCTGGAGGGGAAGCCCTCACACGCCGCACCGTACGGTGACACATGCACTCTTACACCCACATGGATGCCACACAGCTGCACACCTGCAAGTCATGTTGCGCCCTCACACTCATCTATGTCCTTCTTTATTCGCCTCTTGCTTTGAGCCCTCTTAAGCACACAGACCCCTAGAGAGCTAGTAAACAGGCTTAACACAAACAACTGCTACCCGGAACACCACACAGATCTCTTTCATCCTGTACACACACACCCAGACCCCAACCCTGGGACTGCTCCTGCCCCTCCCCAGTGGTGACAGGGGTCCTCCTGCCTGTGGACCCTCAGTCTGGAGCCCGGTGTGGACCGGCTGTGACTGGAGGCTGCTGCGGGCCGTCTGTCCACAGCCTCCGGATGAGTACTGCCTCCTGTGGGTCATCGCTGACCTGATCTCCTTCACCTTCATCGTTGGCATCTTCGTGCTCCAGAAGTGAGTAGGCCCCGACCACCTTCCTCGGCCTTCCCTGCCCCAAGACAGACCTGGCTCCCACCCCAGCCAGGGGACCCTTCTCCTCAGCCCTGGGCCAGGACAGGGCCTGACTAGATGACCTGTGCAGGGGAGAAGGACTCCCAGGGACCCCCAGCCCATCCCCCTCAGCCAGAGCTGGTGGCTCCTGGAATGAGCCCCCAGCTGGGAGTCCAGAGCCAGCCTCTGCTGGAATTTGCTGTGTGGACTCTGCCCAGTTTCAGCTCCTCTATGGCTGGCTGGCTCGTCCCCTCGCCTGTTGTTGCCCAAGGCCACGGTCCCCACCAGCTCTCAGCACTTGGTTGTGCCAGGCTGAAGACCTCTCACCCCTCAGGACAACCGCTGGCACAGTGGTTGCAGTGGGAGGTGGGGAGGGGGCTCAGGGGAGGGATCAGGGCCAGGCTGGGGTCCCAACCCAGCTATGAACCAACGGGAAGGGGTTTTATTCTTGACTGACGTTCTCTCTCTGTCCCATACTGCTCTGACCCGGCGCATGTCCCTCCTCTCTCTCCCCAACCTCCCCCTCTCTGCTGCACTCTGGCATCTCACAGCTATCACTTGATCAGGTAATTCTGGTGTGGTCTTCCTCCTCCTGTTCCCCCTTCTCCCTCCTCCTTGCCAACCCTTTCTCTAGTTCCTCTGAAAACCTGCATTGAGCCCTGTGCCTGGGTCCAACTCGCTCACCGCTCACCGGCACCCTCCCAGGCACCTCCCTCGCCTGAAGCCTCCTCCTCTCGCCACCGGCCCTCCTCTCCCCTGCGCCCTCCCTTCTCTTCCCATCTTGCTCTGCGTGCCCCTCCTCTTGTTCCTCCTGCCATTTCCCCAGATGGGGAACCAGTGTTTCTTGCAGGTCGCTGACCTGGCCTCTCTCAGCACCAGCGCACCTTCCTCTGGGGAGAGGGCACCCAGCCCCCCAGTGTCACCTGCAGGGCCTTCCCCACTGCCCAGCGCACGCCCGCCCTACCACTTCTGTCTCTCCCTTCCCATCTGTCGCCTTCCCCCTCTATGCGTTTGCCTCTCCTGTCACTCGTTCTGTGTCTCTCTCGTTTCTATCTCTTTATTGCTTTCTGTCGACCCCGCCCCCCGCTTTCCCCTCTGGAGGGCCTCACAGTGATTGAACTTCCTGTCCTAGATGTGCATGGCTGCAGGAACCTGGCCTGACACTTTCCTTCTGCGGTTAATACTACTTTCCAAGATGAGACTTAGGTCTCAGGGATCCAGGTCCTCCTTGGAAAAGTGCCTTGGGACCTCCTGGGTCAGGTGGTGTCACTGACCCGCTTCTAGGTGAAACTGCCCCCTGGCTGTGGGACTGAACCCAGAGAGGCACATTCACGCAGCCCTCCCTCCGTTCTCGTTCTCTCCGTCAGAGACGCCCGCACATGCCGGCTGGTGCTGTGCGGGCCTGCCGCAGGCATCAGGCCTGCACAGGCGGAGCCCCAGTGCGCTGGGGAGGCGGCCCGCTGCTCGACACACAGCCAGGGCGGTGTCCCTGGGGTCCTGGGGGCCAGGAGAGGCCTGATGGAGAAGGGGACCCTGGGGGAGAAGATCATTTCCTCATTCTTCCATTCACTCACTCGACAAGTACTTAGGGCACCGTCCCCCACACACAGCAGGCACTGAGGCTGGTGCCAGGGACAGATGATAAATAAGAGACCCAAAAGCTGCCAAGCACATGCAGGGTGCTAGCCCAGCCAGAGCACAGGTTGCCTTCTCTGCCTCGCTCTTTTCTGTCTGCTCTGTTCCTCCACCCATCTGCCTATCCACCTGTCCGTCCATTTCTGCTGTGCTGACCCCATCTGGAAACAACTGATTTCTTATGGAATCTGGGCTCCCTTCATCCACCCCAGCAGGGCTCAGTGCCCTGGGGGGTTGGGTTGTTTCCAAGCTGACCCCCACTTCTCTTGGTGGGAGTGGGAGTGGGAGTGGGGGGTCCAGTGAATCCTTTGTCCAGGTCACAGGAAAAGTCTTAAGTTCAGAGGCCAAGGATTTGGGGCCAGTTCAGAGGAACTACCTCAGGAAGAAGAGTGCCTGGCTCTGCCTGGCCCCTGCGCGCCCCGGGCGGCCCCACCCCGCAGCCCACTCGATTGATTTTACGCCCAGCCCTGCCTCGGCCATCAGAGGGGCTAACGCTCCAGCCCGGCCACCCCATGGGGGAGTATGTGCTCCACTCTCCCAGGGTCGTTGGAACAGGGGAGCAGCAGACCCCACCTCGAGTCACTCCAACGTCCTTGGCACTGAACCTTGTGAAGACCAGTTCTGAGCAAAGCCCCTGCCATGTCTCCTCACCTCTCTGCTTGCCTTCACCTCCTCTCTGGGGTTTCCCTCTGGCTTCACTCAACCTGGTCATAAGAGCGGAGCTGTAGGAGACATCAGCTGGCACTCCCCAAGATTGGCGTGTGCCCCAGGGAGCATCATCACAGTCATGTCTGCTAAGCCCTCCCCTAACCCCAAACTTATCCCATCCAGAGAGAGCCAGGTGCATAATGGGTGTCACCTGATACAGAGCTAACCAACCCAAAACTTCCCGGCAAGGGGAGCAGACCCAGGCTGTGGAGGTAGGAGGAAGGCAGCAGAGCCCTGGCTGAGCATCAGCGGACTCCGATCCAAGCTCCAGCTCTGCCTATCGCTGGGCCCCACCTGTGTAGTCAGACAAGAGCCCTACTGGTCTCTCAGGCCAAACCCAGAGGCTCTGGGAGGGGGCAGGATCCTGGCTCCGGGGAAGGGCCTGATGCCCACGGGGCCCTCTCTGCAGGTGGCGCCTGGGCGGCATAAGGAGCTACAACCCCGAGCAGATCATGCTGAGCGCAGCAGTGCACCGGAGCAGCCGGGACGTCAGCATCATGAAGGAGAAGCTCATCTTCTCAGGTGGGGAGCCCCGCAGACAGGCTGAGACAGGCACTGGGCTCAGCTCTCTACCAGACACGTGCACACGGATGTGAGTGTACACACACACACACACAGCACACACAGGCAGGGACATGGCATAGATATACAGATGCCCACACAGGTACAAAGGCACGCATTCACATATAGACATGCATACCCTCCACATGCAGCCATCAACTCCAGATCCTGTGGCTCGCTGTCAGCCACAGAGTGGGTGGGCAAGGGCAATGTGCAAGAGTTGGGGGGGGGTTTCTGCTTTGAAGGCCCACCCCCCTTTGCCCGGTTCATACAGGTACCCACATATTGATTTCACCCCTGTTGTTGTCAGCCCCTGTCGACGTTCCCAATCTGATGGAGGAGGCAGCTGTACAAGCAAATACATGGGAAGCCGGGTGTCACCGGAGGTCTAACAGATCACAGTGCTGAACCAGAGTCGGGTAGAGGGCGAGAGAGTGGTCAGGGCTCCCTGGGGCAGTGTGAAGAGTTTTGGAAGTGACAGGGTTGAATTGGGAAGGATGGGTCGGAGGCGCCTGGGTGATGGGTTTGAGGTCAGGCCTGGGCGAGCAGAGGGAAGGAAGGGCATTCCAGGCAGGAGCAGCCTGTGCTCAGAGGCGGTGAGGGGGCACTGCTTTCCAGGGCACCAAGAACTAAATATCATTCCGTATGGCAGAAGGGGCGGGGCCTTTGGCAGGCACACCCCAAGATGGTGCTTGCTGGTGGGGGCCCCGGGTGTGTGATCAGGAGCGTGGGCTTCATTCTAAAAGCACAGAAGGGTCATGGACAGATGTTTTTGGCCGTTGTTGCAGCAGGCTGTAATGAAGTACCATGACATGGGAGGCTTAAACAAGAAGTGTATTGTCTCAGTTCTAGAGGCTGGGAGTCCAAAATCAAGGTGTCAGAGGGCTGTGCGGGAAGAATCTGGTCCAGGCCGCTCCCCTCAGCTTGTAGATGGTCATTGTCCTGTTCACACGCATTCTCCTAGTGTACACCTTGGTAATTCAGGCAAGAGATGTGGGCGTGGGAAGAAAGAGGAGAGGAGAGATTTATAGCATATTTCAAGTCCCAGCTCTATCCCCACCTAGCTGTGTGACCTGGAGCGCACTGTCTAACCTCCCCCGGCATCGAACTGCTTGTCTGAAAGGGGGCTAACACCCCCTCTCGGGGTACCTGTGAGGGTTACTGCCATGCCCAGCCCAGAGGGGTACTTGGCAAACACCACATGAGTGGAAGAGGGCCCCATCGGGGTGACCGTGGGCAGGGCTGGCTCCAAGGATCAAGGACCATGGGAACATCTCATTCGTCCCTTCACTTACTCATTCCTCTAACGGACGAGGGCCGCGCACTGTTTCAGGTGCTGAGGACACACAGATTCTGGCTTTCCTTAGCTCAGACAGCCGCCTCCCGGAACCTCCCCTGAGTACCAGGAGCGGGTTGGAGTGCCTCGCCCGCATCCCCCAGCTCCCTCAGCTCCCTCTGGCCACACTGGGGAGCTCCTGGAGGAAGGGGCCAGTCCAGGGTACCCGGGGTGCCCAGGCCCCACACTGTGCCAGCCTGGAGAAGTCAGAAGGGGCGGACAGAATGAATGGAAGGCAGGAGGCCAGGCCCTAGTCCCGGCAGGTTCTGCCCATCCAGACCCCACCCCTCCTGTAGCGCCCAAGACCATTCACTGAGCACCTTCCGAGTGCAGGCTCTGAGGAGGCAGCCACAGTCCTCACCTGCTGCCCACTCCAGCTGGGGAGGTCCTCCCCAGAGACCCTCAGCCCCACTGAGGATCCCCTCAGGGAGGGGCGCAGCTCCACTCAGCAGACCTTTTCTGAGTTTCTGCCATGTGTCCTGACTGCCTGTGCCAGGCACTGGGGACACAGATGCCCAGACGTTACCCCTCTCCTTGAAGTGCTCCTGGTGGTGAAGCCCCAGATCATGAGCGTGCAGGCTGTGGCGCGACAGGGGAGGCAGGGGCTAGGGTGCTGAGGAGGCGCGCCCATCCCAGCCAGGGGACCGGGGCTCAGGGGAGGTTTTCAGGAGGCTACAACAACAGAGGTGAGAGGGTCTGAGCCTGATTTTAAGAAAAGGAGGTATTGCTGGGGAGGTCACTCCCAGGAGAGGGGCCAGTCTGTGTAAAGGCCCTGAGGAGGGCAAACACATGGTGCCAAGCTCAGGAGGTTGCAGGTGCTTTTGGTGGCCAGGAAGAAGAGCTCCAGGAGAGAGTGGACACTAAGCTGGGCCCTGAATACCAAGCTCAACACTAAACCTGAACCCAGTGGTCTCACCAGCCTCCAAGTGCCCGACCAGGACTCGCTGCAAGCCATCCTTCCCCCAGGGTGTTCAAGCCCTCCCCAGTGACCCCTCTCCTGCCCCTACTCATATCCTGCCTCCTCTACTCCAACAGAGATCAGCGATGGCATGGAGGTCTCCGATGAGCTCTCTGTATGTTCAGACAACAGTTACGACACGTATTCCAACAGCACCACCACCCCCGTGGACCCCCGAGGGACTGGGAGCCGCACCAAGGCCCTTACTGATCGGAGTGGCCGTTAGTTGAAGACCTGTCTTCCCAAGCTGGACCTAACGCGGAGACCAGGGAACCCAAAAGAGCTGGCAGAAGTGGGTCTGGACTCGGAGTGCCCTGGGAGCTGGCTCCACAGCCTCCTCATCGGCTCTAGCCCTCATCTGCCGCAGCCTCTCACAGGGGTGGGGGCTCTCTCTTCCCTGAGGCCCAGCAGGGCTAGGACTCCAGCCTCTCTGATGCCCCTGGGGCCTGGGGTCTGGGGCCTGGCCCTCCCCTGAGGTCCCTCCTTGTATCCTGAACTGGAAGCTCTGTTGGGCCATGCCCCTGCGGCAGTGGAGGATGTGGATGCTCATGTGTGACCGTCCTCCTGTTCGTGCTGGGAGGCAGCTGGCTTCCCCATGTTTCTCCTGCCCCAAGGACCTGGGGCTGAGCATCTCTGCTCCTCACATCAGTCTCAAAGCACAAGGAGGTTCGGCTCAGGAGGAAAGCCTGCGTGGTGGTGCAGCTATTCCTCCCAACCAGGCCCCCTTCACCACCGGCCCCGCCCCGGGAACGGCCCGAGCCATCTCCCCTGGGGGCAGCTGGAAATGGCCAGGAGAGCAGGCTCGGGGCTACTCCATCCCCTGCCCAAGGGTCCAGCAGTCCTCCGGGGCAGAGTAGCCCAGTCAGGAGATTCACAGACTGACACGACCTCAGTGGCCACAGGGCAGGCGCCACCTGGGAAAAGTGTTCTGGGCATGGTCAAGGGTGGGCATGTGGCCAAGAAGGCCTGCAGTGGAGGGAGCCTGCGGGACCTTGGCCGAGATGATTAAAGCTGCCATCTTGACACATCATTTCTGAATTGTCAGTGGGAGGGTGGAGACCGAGCTTGCTGGGTTTGGGATTCAGTCCTGGCCCCATGGCTTAAGGATGAGCCATTCTCAGAAATGAGCAAGAAGGTGGCAGGGTGGCAGGTTCCTTAACAGCCCTGGGATTGGGGACCATTTTCCCCATACTGTGGTGGGGAAGACAGCCCTGGAGAAGTAGTGCCCGTCCAAGGCCACACGGAACAGGTGGTGCCAGAACCCCACCGGGGCTCTGGTCCCAGAGTGTGCGGGTGCCTTCAGAAACCAGCCTGGAACAGCACAGCCGATGGGGAGGGCTCCTGGGCCCAGGGGGGCAACAGGACTAGGGGGTCCCCTCACAGCCCCAGGGAGGCTTTCAGACATTCAGCCAGGAGATGCCTCTTCACCATGGCGAAGGTTTGGCTTGGGCTTCTCAAGGCTTTGGACCTGACCAAAGTGGGCCCACCCCATTCCTGGCACATTGGGGTACCTGGGCTAAAAGCTCCAATGTAGCCCCTGGGACCACAGATGTCAGATGTCCCTTCCTTCCTTCGGTCCTTAGACCCCTGCCCTCCATGAATGGGGTGAGCAGTGGAGTCAGGGCAGGTGTGTAACTCCCATCTTCATCCCAAGAGTCTGTGTGATCTTGGGTGTGTCCTAGGGAAAAGGGTGGGGGCCGACCCCTAGCACCAGCCTGCATTCATAAACGTGGTGCTTCCAGGGAGCCAAGGGACATGTCTCTTCTCCAAACAGGGATTTTCTGGATAGAATCCTTGGGGTCTGAGTGATTCTGCCACCTTCTTGGAGGAAAAGATAGGCCCCTCCCAAAGGCCGGAACCCAGGCGGGGCCCTCCACATTAACTCCTAGGGCTGCCCCTCAGGAACTGTAAGGATACACCCCCTCCTGCCCCCTACTGAGCATCTGCCCAGTGCTCCCCTTCCCAGGGCAGAGGCCAGCTCCCGCCTCTCCTTGGGCCCAAGCCGGCAGGAGTGAAACCTGGAACAGCGGGGTCAGGAGTGGGGTTCACTGCCCTACCCAAAATGCCCCCACAACCTCCTCTCCAGCCTTTCACCAGGAGAGGAAGATGTGACCTTTCATGCCCCCTCCTCCCTGTCCAGTCAGCGCTCCTGGCCACAATGTCCCAGGCTCCTGGCCAGACTGGGGCAACTGGAGACATCCTGGGGTTTTCAGGAGAGGGTAGAGCAGGCTGAGAGTTGAGTGGAGAACAGCCAGAGCCCCACTCTCCCCAGAGCCCTGCTCCTTACCGCCCCCCTTCCCCAGTGCCGAGGCAGTCCAGCTTCCTCCCCCAAACCCCGAACAATGGAGGGAGAATGGAAACCGTCCCCGGCTTGGGGAGAGAGCCACGCCTGTCTCCACCCTCAGCGGAGCCCACAGCCCCTGGTCAACCCTGGCTCCTGCCCCTTGACCTGAGGAGTAACTGAGAACCCCACCTTCCTGATGTCTTCCCCTTGCCTGCGGAGGACAGCCTGCCGGCCCACTCAAAGGGAAGCAGGAGATGAGTCCCCTCCACTTCGCTGCCACCCCCTGTAGACCCACTCCTTTCCTCCTCCCTTGGACTCAGTGGCTGAGGCCTCCTCCAGGCTGAGCTCACCCTCTAGTCCCTCCAGGGCCCCCTGTGAATCCTCAGCCTCTCCTCCCAAGTACAGTTATAAAGGTGCCTGGATCTAGAGGTCCAAGATGGCCTTGGTGTAGGAGGACACTATACTCAACCACAGACAAAACCAAATACACAGAGAGAACAACTACTCCTGCAAGATGACTGAGGAGTGAATGGACAGCTTCTGAAAACCAGAAAGAGACTGAACAGAGAAGGCAGGGAAGCCGCAGGGGCCCTGGGAACACCCCCCGCTGGGGGAGCCACTGGGTTTACACCCCGCTCCATTTTGATAGGGTGGGCAGAGCTCTGGTTGGAAGGCTCTGGCCGCCTGAAAGACTGCCTGGAGCCTCTGGCCTCCAACAAAGGGAGAAAGCAGAAACAGCTGGACATCACCACATACACCTGGCTTCCCTGCCAGGACCACTAAGCCTGGCAGGCCAGTGACTCAGGCTCCCTAAGTACGTGATCAGTGCAACCAGCTTCCCCAAAACTACCAGGCACATAAACCCTACACAGAAGTTGCTTCTCCACAGGACCACTTTCTGTACAACAGGAGAGAGACTGTATGGAGGCAGCTGGGAGCTGTGGGAATTCTCCAGAAACCATGGGCTGGAGGCCCACATGAACACCATTGTTTACGTCCCCTCCACCTCCACAGGGTAGGTGGGTGCTCAATCCAGGTGCTCTGGTATGCCTGCAAGGTTGCTGCAAGTGAGTTCCCAGACACGTCACCTGAACCCATTTTGCGTCCAGACAAAGGGAGCAAATACAATCAACAGGACATTGCTACACGCACTTGGACTCCCCACCTAGTGCCGCTCTGGCTTGGTAGGCCAGTGCCCCATATACCTCAGGCACCTGCTCAGCTCCTACCAGCCAGCCAAAATCACCTGACAGTCCACACAGAGCCCGCTTCCACGTAAGGCCACTTTTTCAAGACTGGAAGAGACAGCTATTTTGCCTAATTCATAAGAACACACACAGAAAGTGAAAAATCAGGATATCTCTCAAATGAAGGAAAAAGAAAAATCCACAGGAAAAAACTTAAATTAACCAATGTTACACCAATAAAATATAAAAATAAAATAAAATAAAGAAAAAAAACCTTAAGGAAATGGAGATAAATAATTTGCCTGATAAAAAATTCAAAGTAACAGTCACAAGGGGTGGAATAAAGAAACTTATGGAGAACTTCAACAAGGAGTTAGAAAGTATAACAAATAACCAAGTAGAATTGAAGAATACAATGACAAAAATGAAAAACACATTAGAAGGAATCAACGTGGATTATCTAATAGAGAAGAACAGGTAAGTGACCCAGAGGATACACTAGTGGAAATCAACCAATCAGAAAGCAAAAATAAAATGAAAGCTAGTTTAAGGGACCTCTGGAATAACAGCAAGTGCCCAAACATTCATACTATAGAAATCCCATAAGGAGAAGAAAGAGAAAAAGGAACAGAAACTTTATTTAGAAATATTAAATACTATTGAGTCCTAATTAAATACTTTCTTAAATCTGGTAAAAAAAAAACAAAATAGAAAAGAAATTGAAACTTTATTTAAACAAATAATGGCTGAAAACTTTCCGAACCTGGGAAAGGAAATAGACATCAAGTTCCAGGAAGTACAGAGAGTTCCAAACAAGACGAACCCAGAGAGACCCACACCAAGACTTACTGTAATTAAAATGGCAGAAGTTAAAGAGACAATCTTGAAGGAATCAGGAGGAAAATGACAAGTTATATACAAAAGAAACAGCATAATGCTTTCATCTGACTTCTCAGCAGCAGGCCAGAAGGGAGTGGCAGGACATCTTTAAAGTGCTGAAAGAAAGGAACTTTCAGCCCAGAATAATTTAAACAGCAAGGTCACCATTCAGAGTTGAAGGAAAGAGGAAGAGTTTCCTGAACAAGCAAGAACTAAAGGAGTAAATCACCATTAAACCAATTTTATGAGAAATATTAAGGGGTCTTCATTAAGCAGAAAAGGAAAGGCCATAACCAGAAATAAGAAAATATGAGAAAGGGAAAAAAATCTAACAGGCAAAGGCAAATAATAAATGCAGTGAATCAGACAGCTAAAAAGCTACTACAAAGGTCAAAGGAAAAAGTACCAAACTCAATTCAAACTACAATGCCTAGTTAGGAGATATACAACACAGAAAGATCTAAAACATAACATCAAAAACATAAACCATGGAGGGGGTTGTAAAAATGTAGTCCTTATAAAATACACTTAAATTTAAATGCTTAAAATAGACTTCTAGAGATATAGAATGATGTACATAAAACTCATGGTAGCCACAAATCAAAAACCTACAAAATATACAAACAAACAAACAAGCAGAAGGGAATTCTAACGAAATACTCAAGTAAAACCACACAGAAGACATCAAGAAAAAGAAGAGGGCTGTAAAAAAAAACCCATAAGACAATTTAAAAATGTTAGTAAGTACATACATATCAATTTCATTAGAAGTAAATAGTATGGCTGAATGGATTAAAAAAAATATGACCCATCTATATGCTGCTTACAAGAGACTCACTTCAAATCAAAAGATACATTCAGCCTGAAAGTGAAATCAATAAAGAAACAGTGGCCTTGCCTGGCTAGTGTGGCTCACTGTATTGAGTACTGGCTTGCAACCCAAAGGGTCCCTGGTTCGATTCCCAGTCAGGGCACATGCCTAGTTGTGGGCCAGGTCCCCAGTTGGAGCCGTGCGAGGAGCAACCACACATTGGTGTTTCTCTCCCTCTCTTTCTCCCTCCCTTTCCCTCTCTCTAAAAAAGGAAAACAAAAAAAAAATCTTAAAACAAAAAAAAGAAACGGTTGCCTTAAACAACAATTAGGCCAGATAGAATTAGTATTTTTTGAACATTTCACCCAAAAGCAGCAGAATATACATTCTTTTCGAGTGCACATGGAATATTTTCCAGGACATACCACATGTTAGGCCACAAAACAAGTCTCAATAAATTTAAGAAGACTGAAATCATATAAAGTATCTTCTCTGATCACAATAGTGTGAAACTGTAAATCAATTACAGAAAGAAAACTGAAAAACACACAAATATGTGGAGGTTAAATAATATACAACTAAAAAATGGAGTAACAATGAGATCAAAGAGTAAATGAAAAGATACTCAGAGATAAATGAAAATGAAAATATTAATGCAATAACCCAAAATATGGGGCATAGGCAAAGCAGTCTTAATAGGAAAATTCATAGCAATAAAGTCTTATCTCAAGAAATGAGAAAAATCTCAAATAAACAATATAACTTTACACCTAAAATAATTAAAGAAAAAACAAGCAAAGCCCAAAGTGAGTAGAAGAAAGGAAATAATAAAGATTAAAATGGAAATAAAAGCAATAGAGACTAAAAAT